GCCAACAATGTCCCCCCACGGCGTCAACAATGTCCCACTGATGACGTCAAGAATGTCCCCGCTACGTCATCTACAATACCCCTCCTCCCCTCCCCCGGTGTCGTCAACAATGTCCCCATGATGACGTCAACAATGTCCCTATAATGTCATCTACAACGTGCCCACTATGCAGTCTACAACGACCCCTCACCTCTTGCTGGGTTCCCTTTTGTACATGTGAGTGCCAGCAGCGCCTCCAGACACACTCCAGGCTGGGTTCTGAGCAGCATCCGCCATCCTGAATTGCAAACTCGGACTGAAACAAGATTAAAATAATAAAAGTTGTTATTATTTCGGAAACAAAGTCGTGAAGATTAGGCGACAACAAGAGGGTGGGGCAGGCCTTGATTGGGCATTATTTGTGACTACCGACTTCTCATTTAAAAGTGATACATTAATAATATTAAGTAGTCAGCCCTAAAAAATGGTGAAAGTTCATGTATCTTCCAGGTCTCTGGTATGTACCCAAAGAGATCTTCGTTGAACACTTCTCTAACGTGAAAATACGCTCAAAGGTTTGAACGCCCCTATCAACAGAATTTAGATCATCCACGGGGTGGTCGGCTGCTCCAACTATGATCCAACATGACACTGCCATTCCAGGTGTGTTGGAAGCATGATAGCGGAACGACTGAGATACTCGTACTCGACAAAATATGCCATTGAAACTGAACTAATGACATTTGTGTGCATAATAAAGAGCTCACCCTTCACACAACAGGCGCAGGTCGCAATTATTCTTTAGAAAAGATTCTGGATTTGGAATGTGATTGCTTTTTGCTGACACATCAGATCCTGCACTGTCGGGTCATCAATTTTTGAATTGTTGGTTTTGAGTATATAAAAAAAGAAAAAGTGGAACCAGCCATCAATATCCCATCATGTGTTCACTTGCGGTTCTTCTTTTATAGTTTGTTTGCTAGTTTGTGTGTTTCTTTATTTGTTGTTGTTTTTTTTGTGTGCACACGTGTTTGTGTGAGTGTGTGAGTGTGTGTGTGAGTGTGAGTGTGTGAGTGTGTGATTGTGTGTGTGTGTGTGTATGTGTGTTTGATAAGTGAACAGACAAACAAAAATATCAAAACTAACAGATCGCTAAAGGTGTAAGAGAGAGGAAATTTGTAACTACCACATATTTGGTATAAAACACATCTAACTGATATCGAAGTATTTTTTCTTCTTTCCCATAGCTTTTTAGCTCATTTTGGCGGAAAAAAGAGGGAAGAGGGCATATTCTGAGAATAATTTGCATGGATTTTGGGAGGTCTAATGGGGGGGGGGGGATCACCAACGAGGAAATATAAAGAAGAGCAAGACAGAGCCCAGTCAGAGATGGGGTGGAAAGAAGGCGTTGGCGATGGACTGGACACACTTTCAGGAAGTCAAGCAGCTGCATTACAAGGAAAGTGTTAGATTGGAACCCACAGGGTAAAAGATCAAGGGGAAGACAATGGATGTACAGAAAAGTGGGAAGACATTGAATGACATCAAGCGACTCGCCCAGGATAGGGAAAGGTGGAGATTGTTTGTTCGTGGCCTATATCCTGATCCAGGGTGAAAAAGGCAATGATGATGATGAATTGGGGGGGGGGATATTATGTGGGGTTGGAGGGTGTAGTCGCTATTTTCCTGTTATGTTTCATCCGCGCCAGTATTGACACTAACAAGTCTGAAGGGATCGTTCTTCGTGACAACCAGACTGCATCCGGAGGAAAGAAAAAAGAAAAAAATGTTACCCAGTGGCTTGCGCAGAAAGAACTACAAGTTGCTCAATTCAAATAAAAGTTTCGTACCCCCATTTGCACAATATAGTCATTTATAAGATTTATAAGGCAGGCAGACTTAACCATGTCCATCTCTGCCGATCCACGCCGTGCGTGCGTGGCACAACATTCTATCAGACACGCGGAGATACTCGGTAAGACAATTTCTCAACACGGGTATAAAACTCGCATCTTTTGCGAGCATAATCAGCAATAATTTATTAATCATTACAAAATTACACCACAGACATCGATCGGAGGGTGTGATGTCCAACACAACACAGGTCCTAAATAGCATGGTTAGAATTGTGAATAAACACAAGCGGTAGCTTCTATTACTTTTTTTCTTTCTTTTTTTCTTTTCTTTTTTTTGGGGGGAAAAAAAGGGGGGTGGGGGGCGGGACAGATCGTAATAAGGAAAAATTGCGTCCAGTTCGTGGAAACTAATGTTTTTCCCAAAATCTGTGTACGGTAGCTGAGGATTCATCCACAACTTCAAACGAAAAAAGGAAAGACAAAAAAAAAACGCAATGCGCCTACGTCCAGCTCCTGTTTGATATTTCAAAAAGCTCGCTTTAAATTTCACGCGCACGCTAGAAACACAGGCATCGAACAAAGTGGTCACTACGAGTCACTTTTTACTCAACTAAACCGTATAAAGGCGAGGTTAGACGTTTCATTTTAAAAAGCAATGGTCACACACAAATGTGTCCTATAAAAAGAAATTTACAAAGCAAAACATTTTACATCAGTGGGAACACGACAAATACTCGTTAGTGTCTTTCATTTAAATATGCCACAAAACACAGAGCTGAGCAGGTGATGCACACCTTGTACAAATGCAAGTCAGAGGTAATCAACTCTACTGCCGGACACACAAAGCTCAATGAATCAACTTCACAGCAAAGAATCCTTATGAGTGTCAGAAAATGCAACAACTATAACTACCGCACAATCCCGCGATCCGCTTCAGTAGAAAGATACAACTGATGGAATTCACAGCTCTCCCTGCCGGCTTAAAGCAACTGTTACCATGTGATTCTCTCGGCCTATTGATTTTCCGTTGGTGGTGGTCCTTGGCAGGGGTCGTGGACCTGAACTCCACACGTTCACGTATTGATCTAACCAATGTGATACTTCATTTGTTATTGATGACAAATCAAAGAGAGATTAGTTTTCTGTGAGCACTGAACCCGAAATACAAGGGAACTTACTTTTACAACATAAAATTCCGTTTATTATATACACACAGTGTCTGCTGAGGCCTCATCATTTGGTAACATCTCTCTAACCTTTCACCTATTTATTTTATCAATCTGTGACTAAAGAAGTGGTGTAAATAGCCTAGTTGTTAGGCTACCAGACCCGTAATCGTGAGAATGCGGGTTTGGAGGTTCGAGCCTCCGCTCGGTCCGACGTTGAGTCCTTAGGAAAGGCACTTTACACGAATTTCTCATTTGCCTCGGTCCTTTCCGAGATGGACGTTAAACTCGGAGGTCCCGCCACTTAAATAACCTGTTAGTGTTGATAGGGGCGTTAAACCCATACCACTTCACAATTTTTATGAGACTAAAGAATATGTGAGTGTCTTCATCACAACAAAAGCAACCATGTCTTCCAGATACCATAGGAGTGAATCGGCCGGTGTCCCTTTTAGGCGCGAACTTCTAGAAACAACATTATCGAGGTGTGTATAAGGAGTAAGCCCGTCTGTTCCGTTCTTGTTGAGTAAAATCGCAAGATCAAATTATACAAGTTTTATTTCTTCTACACTGCTAGTACTACAAGTACGTCAAAAACTAAACAAAATCCAAATGTTTAAAATGCAAGCGAGCGATCGAACGGAGATGAAAAAGTTACCTTTTACGGTATGTTAGGAGCCGGAGACGTGTTCTGACGACAAACACACAATGCATGATCAAGTATAGGAAGTGCATGATCCGGTATACAAGGTGCAAGATCTAGTATCGTGAATATTATGTAGTATAAGAGCGTATTGTGTGAGCTACGTGGCATGGTGTGACAAACAAAGCGAAAGGCCATCTAATGGCTCACACTACTGGAGTAAGCTACAGGGGGACAGAACGAACAATTTTTTTACTGGACAGTTGGGGTGCGTAACGTTGGCTATTTTGAAACCCAACATTCATAACGTCGAGTGAGGATGGCCGCTTCCGAAAACAGGTCATCCTAAACGCAGTGCACTTGGTCCAGGGATTAGAGACAGAAAAAAGAAAGAAAAATTATGGAAAGACGTCAGAGGTGATATTCTGTAGTCAATATCACATTGATCATCGCAGCATATAGACTTGTTCATGTTTGCTAGTCCGACACTAAAAAGACGTGACACCTCCTGCCTTGCCAGTCGTACGTGTGGCTTTTTGTAACGCCATAACCAACATGGAAGAGACTTGACTTTCTGACAACGATGTTTGAGAAAGTCGTGGTGAAATGGGTGAGATTGACAAACTGAGGAAGTAGGCCTATTCAGATTTATCAGAACTGCAGGCAGTGTTAGTATGTTGTTCTTTGTAACAACCGCGCGGGAATTCCTTGAGTCACATAAAGCAGAATGATGTGGTGCTGGGGTACAGATATGAGATTGCCTGGTTCAATAGCTGGAAGCATACATGTTGAGCAATCAGAACCGAGCATAATAAGATTCAACGTGTTTCATCTTGAAGCTTACGGCTGCGATTTGGTAATACTTTTGTTATTTGTTTTTCACACAGTGAACACAGGGATGTCCAGACGCGAATGATACAAAAAAGTGTCGGTAGTCTAGTGGTTAGGCTGTCAGACTTACAACCGAAATGTTATGGATTTGAACTCCGTCAGGGACCTGATGCTGTCATTGTGTCCATGGGAAAGGCACTTTACACGAATTTTCCCCACCTCACCCAGGTGGGAATGGGTACCCAGCTATAGACGACCAAAGATCTTGTCAGTTTGTTATCATTTTTGCCCTAAGTTAATCGGCTGTTTGCACCGTATGCTTCGCTGGAAGTAAGCCGAGAATGTTACTGGGTGTTCGAGGTCAGCAAGGGTAACGATGGTTGCAAAGTGCATAGAAAGTGCTTTTTTTAAAACTCAACCAATAAAATGAGACTAAGTCAGGGTTCAAGCAGTAATGTTACCCGTTCAATTTGAGGGATTAGAATGGTAACTCTCTGCTAATCAAATGAACACATTAGATTACAATTGCATGGTTTTAAATGGTATGAAGTAATGGACACATTCTTTGTTTGAAAAAACAGAAACACATCGACAAAATAGACATTATCTAGTGCAGGGAGAAATTAATAGCGCAAAAAACAACAACAAAAGAAATGGAAACATTACTTCAAAAAGATATGTGTACTATAATCTATCCAGCTAGGAATTAGTCTAGAGGGGGGAAACAATAATCTACTTCCAAGCCCTAAAAATATGAGAAATCTGAACACATTAGCAGACCGTTAAAATATTTCAAAATCTAAAAGTTACAATGTCCAGTGATGTCCTTCTACTCTTAAGACATGTAAGGAAAACCACTAACCCCAGGAACAGTACTAGTAAAAAAATCCTCCATAACTCAGAACTTCACTTTTAAATAGCCTTTTGTCCCTGACCAACCAAAAAACACAGTACCCCACGCAAGATTTACATTCATGAAAGCCGAAAACAAAGAAAAGACCGAGGTCTGTGATGTAGCAGTCAAGCGCTCCGCCGTCGCATGCAGGAGATGAGTGTTTGATTCCCATGAGGGGAAAGTTTAAATTTTTTATGAGCATTCGGTCTTTCTGCTGTGATGTTGTATCCCTTAGTTTTAGTTTTAGTTAGTTAGAATTTTATGGCACTTGAAACACATATACAGATAATAATTATAATAATAGATTGCATTTATATAGCGCTCTATCCCATACTAGTATAAGCTCTGAGCGCTCTGAGATCATACAAAAGCGAAAGAATAGAGGTGTTGCTAGACAGTGACATATAAAGAAAAAGGATAAGGAGAGATATGGATGATAGATGTTTCATAGTAAAGGAGCAAACCACACCAGGGCCTCCATCAACCACCCACATTAAGAGAACTCGTCAGACTTTGAGTTCCAGCTCAGACTGCAGCAATATGAATGGATGAATGAAGAGACTTGTATTACAAAAGAAGTCAGAGCTATGATTGACATTATAACATAAATACGCCTTGGCAAAAAATATGATGTTAATTATACTCTAGCTTTTGACTATGCCAATCATTGAGTTAAGCCTTCCTCAACAACTGATGAAAAATCAATAAAACTGTCACACTACACATAATGGACTAAGCAGAGAGTGAAAGGGAGAGAGAGACAGAGAGAGGGAGAGACAGACAGAAGGGGAAAGGGAGTTGGAAAGTGAGCTAGAGAGAGAGAGAGAGAGGAGAGAGAGAGAGAGAGAGAGAGAGAGAGAGAGAGAGAGAGAGAGAGAGAGAGAAAGAGAGAGAGAGAGAAAGAGAGAGAGAGAGAGAGAGAGAGAGAGAGAGAGAGAGAGAGAGAGAGAGAGAGAGAGAGAGAGAGAGAGAGAGAGAGAGAGAGAGAGAGAGAGAGAGAGAGAGAGGGTTTTTCCAATCCCACCCACATCAACACACTCCTTTGTTGTTACACCTGTGGTAAAGTACAGTGTGCTTACAGAATTCAATACTCAATGAGTGTGCATCTATACACAGAGTATTGTAACAAAACTACATGGGGGAACAAAAATATTAAAATATGCATAATAATCAGGGCTGCGTGAACAATGAGTGTTCAAGGTGCTTACTCTTCCTCAACCCACATTTCATTTTGCATATCAACCCAAACAGAAAAACATTGCAAGGACATCAGCCAACTTATGTAATACTGTACTGTAAGGACTAGGTCAAACAGCTGGGGATCTAGTGCAAAAATATAGTTCCATCACTGTTTATCATAAAAATAAAATTTAGGTCCAAGGAATTTCTGCTTCAAATGGAAAGACTATTATGGAGGGAAATAGTGGAGTACGTGCACAGTTTCTATAAAACCAAGGACTAAGAAGTAACTAGAAATTTTTCATTCTAAACTGAACCTCTCTTTCTTTTATAATCTGAATATAGAAGGAAATATATATATGAGCTTCAGAAACCCCAAACGTCACAGACCATTATAAATTTTATCAAGTTTTTACAGCATGCTAAGATGCAAGCAGGCAGCAGTGAGCGTGATGTGTAGACAAAGAAATAAACTATAAAAGTAAAAGAAAAAAGTGTTCACTCACTGGTTTAGTAGCTTTCACCAGGATTAATGTTCTTTTATTTATATAACAATTTCTTGGGGCGACTGGATCTATCGTAGTAATCACAGTGGGTGGGGACCAGTGTACTTATGCTTCAAAATGCCAGACCCAGTCTAAGAAAAAAGATAGAATTAGTCTTTTTTTGTTTTAGTAAGTGTTTTACGGCACTTGCAACACAATAAGGTCATATAAGTGCCGAAGATTAGAGGTGTTACAAGAGAGTATCAAACACAAAAAAAAAGAAGAAAGGGAGATGTTTGATAAGAAAGAAGAAGCAAACCACACCAGAGCACCCACCAACCACCCACAGAATTAGTCTAATTTCACATTAGACGACAAAGACTGACGACTCATGACCGAGACAAGCAGACCTGACAACCCCTCCATGACCAAAAAAAGGAGCTTTCAGCAAAATCCTAGATCTAGATCTACCTAGAAATCGGAGTTTAACACTTAAAGTACCAAAGACTCATAAAGTGAAAACGAAGTGGCTAGCCGTACTTAAGTACTGTACTGCCAGTCTAGCTGTACTTAGATCTAGATTTGGCCCTATCGACTCAAGCCTGTTAAGTACACAGGTCTCCTTAGATCTAGATCTAGTATCTGTTATTTAATTACGTTTAGCGTGCCTGGTCGAGTTGGCAACTAAAGTGGCCTGCG